TATTGCATTCAAACCGAACTATATTTTTGAACCCACCCCCCCCCCCCCCAGTGGCACAGTGACATGTCTGTGGACTTACAACGCTAGAAACCGGATTTCGATATCCGTGGTGGGCAGAGCACAAATAGCCCATTGTGTAGCTTTGTGCCTAACTTCGAACAAACATAAACATTTTTTTTTAAATTGAGCTTATCTGCAAATATAGAGATGATTATCTTTCTTCTGATACCTTGTTCAGTGCGAATTAGCTGTTGTATTTATATCAGAGTTACTATACAGAGAGATGGAGAGATAGACGCATATACTGAACAAAGAAAAATATTAATGGATAATCGGAATTAGTATTATAACTACGTTAACGTAAAACCTTTATTATGAAATCATGTCATCCACCCCTTCTCAGTTCATTGTTATTCAAATAAGGCATCTGATAATCAGTCATGTGATTTGAAATGCAAATGATTGGTCATTAAGCTACCTCTAGACTCATGCAATTTTTTCTGTGTTTAAAGTATTCCAAGTTGTTCATGAAATGTGTGTAGACCTCAAAGAAGTCATTCAGAAGTTTCATTAAGTGAAGAGCCAGCGGTTGAGTGGATGTCAGCCGGTACAAACTGTTATTGGAAATTTGTTACATATGTCTCAAGATGTCATTAGAGGAACATGGAATCGCTTCCAAATCAATAGTGCAGGTGCTCACACCCATGGACAAGGAAACCCAAAATCTACAAGCTAAGTAAACAACCACTGACTGTCATCCTTAGCTCTCTACAAGCATAACTTCTCCAAGACAGATGTATTCAGGCCACAACAAGACACAAAACAGCTCATTTGACATGGTGTAAAATGTCCAGGGGACCAGATACTTTTTGAGCAATATTTTTACAGTTATTTATTTGTTTGTTGTAAGCAGAAAGATAAACAATGGACTAGCAGTGCTGTGCCCATCACTAGTATCGAAACCCGTCTCATAGCGTTATAAGTCGTCAGACCTACTGCTGAGATACTGGGGGAATTTTACAGTTGAGTCAGATAAATGATATGAAGAGGAGAGAATTTGATCCAAATCCAGTTCCTTTTCGTACCGAAACGTTCGTGGTGAAGGTATGATATGAGCAAGAATAACTATTGGTGAAGGTACCAACCTTAACATACTGCACATTATATTAAATACATCTTATGACTTCTTTTTCTGCAATTTGCTGGACAAATGTCCTCGACTTCATCCTAGATAAAGTATAGCGTCACCACTCACCGTGTTGAACTAGATGACATGTGATTTAAAGAACATTGATTAAAGGATTGCAATGGATGCTATTTGGAGATGTGTCACATCCTTTCAAGCGAATCCAAAGACTAAAGACACCCATAAAAACTTTTATAGGAGTGGTTGTGGATACATCAGACCCACCTTATTAACACTTCTTAGGCATACATCATCAGCGTCACATTGCTCTTGTTGTTCCTGATAGTAGTAAAATGTCTTGAACTTTAAAGATGAAACTTATCTTTATAAAATGTTCATTTAAAAACATTTGTCAGACTAGATATAACTTAGTCTGATTAACCAGTCATTTGCATTCAATATCTCCAAGAAGATGAAACTCAAATGCCTAATTTGCATGAACACGAAGGGAGGGATGATGGAAATTATTTTATAATAGTGGTTTAACCTTCCCATATCTAAAATAATATTTACTTCAGCATAGATCGATAGGCAATAAGAATGGTAGATAGGTGCAATTCATTCGCCAATATTGTAAGATGGGCTATGAGTTTCTCAGATTGTGAGGTACTGATTTCCCCCTGTGAGAATCCATTGGTTTCATATATAAGTTGTGTTATTGTCAGGTTTTTATCGGGCCGAATTCTTTACAGTAGGTGTCTGTGACTTGTTGGCGACAAATCTCAACAATAATCGGACAGCACACAATCCACTTGTTTTAAAATAATATATATTCAAAACAAGTCAAACTTATATACCAAAATTCGTTACACTATTGGTTATCACAGTTGTATCCAGAGTTTTAAATAATTGTCTCTTTTTCGTCAAAGCCCACACATACAGATTCAATTACTTTGGAACACCCTTTGACAGCACAAATTATTCTTTTCGATCTCTGTTATTACAATAGAAGCTATAAAACTCACTTTAAAAATCGCTTGTCACAGCTAAACTGATATGCAGTCTAACTTCACTTTTACGTTCAATTTCATTAACTTGATCGCCTATATATATATATATATATATATATTGCCCGACTGAGACCTAGAACTTTCTACGAACTAGGAGACATTATGATGTAAAATACTCTCTTAAAGCAACGAGAAAAATTTAGAAGGTTCAAGTAACGTGACGTCAATTCACAACAATTGAACTACACAACAAATGATTCGTAAACAGTTACGTAAGCAAACTTGCCATAACTATGGTACCATAACTACTTTAACACTCGCGCTCAATATAAACTATATAACGCTGTCGTGTTAAACTTAAAATGAACAGTCGTGTATATCTAACAGTAATATTAAGCTTTAACCAGAAGTAGTTTTAAATTTTAAAAATGTCAATACATCAATTTTCGCAACTAAAAAACAAGCCAGCTGATTTTCGATTTTACCGCATAGTATTTGGATTTAAAAGGGGAAAAAAAGCCTATAATAATAACGCAAATGTTGCCAAGGTATCTCATTTAAAAAATAATGATGACTTTGTTTTCTTTCTTTGTCTAAATATCTCTTCCATGCTGTTGTTATCTTTTCTTACCAAATGGTATGACTTCTAGTTTTCTGTTATCTTCATTCATTATCGTGCCATGTAAACATCTGTTCTTTTATATATATGTGTTCAAACTTAATGTTTGAGTTACTTTTCATAAATTGACTTTCGAGTATTAAAGAAATATTAGGAAGGAAATTTTACCAATGGAATTAAAGCTCTGTCGATCTTTTTTTTATATCTTCATTATACAGTGTATAGAAGGTGCACTGTACTCGGAAATCACAGAGTAATCAGTAAATCAATAAGTAACATACTGTGTTTATTCCATTTCCATTTTGAAAAAAAAAATGTAGCCCTTATTGAGAAATTAATACTGAATACTTAAAACACTTATTCTTGTATTTATCAATCCTTATCACTAGCTTCATAATAGAACATCTCTTTGATTTTTGAGTTTTGCCACACACATCCCGTACATATCATTCGAGGATTATATCTGACATTTCTATATATGTTGATAAATAGGTGAATGTACTAACTGCACCAAGTCAATGATAACAATATTCTGTTAACATGACGCTATTATTTGTTGAAGCATTACACATGACAAAATGACAATGATATAAAATCAGTCTTAGGCCTTTTGCCATTTTCACGAAGATATGAAACAAGTGAATAATGTGAACATAATGTAAATATCACACTGGTACTATTCCTATCTTATCTTCTTACATTCTATAACATAATGATAATATATTCCTTCAATATTTCTGCATTATCCTTAAATGATATATTTTTGAATTTACGTTTTAGGTAATCTGAATTTGAATCTGTGACCCATTTCATTTGAAATAAAATAGAGTTTTATTTTAAATAAATCAATTTATTTCATTGCAATTTACAAAATATTTCACGAATTTCTCTTACGCAAATTAAATTCTGAGTTATAAATAATTTAATTATTTCTTTAAAGCTTCTCGTTTAGCTAAATAATGACTTGGTTTATGAGCTACTACATTATTTATCTAAATAATCTAAAGTATATGTAATAAATTAATTAGCTCATTTTTGCTATAATGTACAAAACAGAACGACACAAATATATAATAGCCATCAGTCATATTGTTACATAATTATTTTTATAGTATTATCATTTATACTGTGTTGTAGTTAATTCATGCAACATATGGTGTAAATAATACATCATACATCTACATACATATTTAGCGTGCATATTTCACACAAAGTTTTATATCGTGATTAAGTCATTATATGAATTATGAATTGATTTAGTTAAATAACGCTCAGATGCGTACAACATCTATTGGTTAAATAAACATAGAAACTGAGTAGTAATTTATGAAAGCTTTCGTGTAACAACACTAACTTATTGTAAAATATTAAATGTTCCTTCGCTTAAAAAAACTAGAATAATTATTTTTTTACACCTACGTACCTGAACATACTTACATTAGTTTTGATTGTACTTTTGATACGAAGTATTTTCTTTTTTGTTGTAAGCTTATTTGATTAGGTTCTCTCTTTCAAAGTTTCCTTGTATCTGATGTTCTTCTTTAATCTAATTATAACCATTTTTCTAACTTTTTTAGCATAACGAGATTAAACCATTCGCCTTTAGGTCAGCTGTGAAATGTGTTAAATTTACGAACCATATCTCTAACAGCCTAAAAAACAATAGTAAAAACACTTATAATCATAGCAATGAATAAACTTTAACCTAATGTTTGAAATTTCTATTGTGCAAGCTGAAAAAAAGAGAGCTAATTTCATTCGTTTCTTTGTCTCGTTAATGGCGACTGAAATTATTATTTAGAGTTTGCACATTAACCAAGTAACATGTACCAGTGCTTTATTGCCTTGTAAGACTTTTTATATGCCTTAGGAACATTACTGTAACATGCAGTATTTAACTGTACTTTCTTATTTACTGAAACGTTTTTGTAGACACATCAAGAAAATAATGACGGTATAGTGTCAGTGAAGATGAAAGCAGACAGCCAGCGGTTATATGGCTTCAACTTTAAGGTGAATGAAATTAATTTTCATGACTTATATCAATTAGCATTAAACGTATTAGTTATACACCATATAATATACATAGAAAGACGAGTACGATTCACTTTGAATCAACACTTAGTTTCATCCTTCCGTAGTTAGTTTATATGTTTATTCGCCTATTTGTTTTTAAATTTCCATGCAGTTCATTAATTATAATGTAATTAATCACAATTAATCCTTTTACACAGGTAAAGGTAACACATTCCAACCATTGTTCTTAAGCATGTTTGCATATATACTTCTATAAAAGTACCCTTTTGAAACAGGTAAGACAAAGATCTGTGCAGCTGACTTGGATGAGAACTGTATATAAACTACTGGTTGAAGTATGTAACTCAAAGACTTGTGGGATATGTAACTAAAGCTTTTGTCTGATTATATAAGCGAGGCCGGTGTCCACGAAATTTTCTCTCTTTTGTCTCTTGGTTTTGGTTTTCTAGGAAATATTCTTCTTTACCCCAGCAGCCAGTTAAATTCAACGGAAAGCGTACGATGGTCAGTTCATTCACAATCATATCATTGTGAATAAAGATTTTTTATTAACTGCTCACTTGTGTTTGTTTCTTTCGTTTGCTGCCTGTGTTTGAAATTACTCTCTTCAGTACATCTCTGTTGGACTTCAGTGTACCTGAATACCATAGACTAGCGAAAAAATAACATTTTGGTGCCATGGCCAAATGAGTTGTAATTGCTGAGTGTATTTTCAAGGTGATTCCTTTTTCCCGGTATTGTCTTCCTGTACCTGTAACTCCGATATTCGTGATCATAGAAAAGCACTTTCTGAGACCTCCTAGAACTTACGACGGAGATAAGGAAGCTAAGGTTGAAGTGAAGATTTGGAAACGACAAGGACTAAGAGAAGTACTTACTCTTTTAGATCGAAATCTTTCACAGGCAGTATTGGGAGTTTGTTCTCATTCTCAAGACCGGAAGGTTGATAAGCTGTTACACGACCTCTAATGGTTACGTTTCTTAGTCTGAAGCATGGGACAGACGTGAAGGGGCGCAATGGTATCGAGCAGCCTGAACTTCCCGAGACTTACTGAGGTGGTCACCGTGGAACACAAAGGAACTCGGTAGCCCAGGCACCGCAAGACGCTAGTTTGAGTCACCAGTGGTCATGTAGAGTGACAGGTGTATCAGGCGAAGTTTGATGAGAAATACCATGACGCCGTCAGGAGGAGTAGCCAGTGTCTTGTAACGATTCAGTGGACTTTGGAGTTAGTCAGAAACTTTCTAGGCCGGCAAGGCACAATTCTGTTGCCGAGAAATCGCGTCTGATAGGTTAAAAGAAGGTTGAATGCGATAATAACGATTTTCCTAAACGTCATTGCAATGTTGCACAATTAACGCGCATTACGTCATTCTGCACAATAATTTGCTCAAGGATGCCGCCACATTCGTCAGGGTGCACTTGTCTCCAGACTTTATAAAGAAGAGACCGTCTCAACACATGGTCTGGTGACTGAGATCGAAACATATTCGTAAGCATTGCGTCATTAAAACGATGCAAAATTACATGTATCATATCATTCTAGTCAATAATTCACACAAGGACGCCTCATTTCTTAGGATATATGAATCTGTTTAGGAAGAAGACGAAAACCTTCTCCAAATGCACACGCTTGTCAACCGCACAGTAGAAGAAAAGCTGATAGAATCACCATTTAAGTATGGTTATGATGTATATCAGGTAATAGGTATGCGCTATACTGAGTGCTCCTCTTGTTAATTGTGCTTTACTTATCCTGGGAGGAGAAAGGATAACTAAAACAGAATTAACTAGAGGGGTACACAGTAGAGCGCATACCCCCGTCACGCAGCGTTCATTATATTAGGCCTTAAAAAAATACAAAAATGTGTCTGTTTGTCCGTCGTTATCAAAGGATACGGACCATTTTAACAGGACAATGAGAAATAATATTCTACATAGGTCCACCAACTTTCATCAAAATCTCTTCATTATGACTGAGTTATAGAGCACGAAAAATCGGTTCTCATGTTAGCAGATACAGGTTGTTGTTTTTTCGTGGCCTTGCTCTGACCTTGACCATGACCCTCCAAAAACTAATCATTTCTAAGTTGGGTCATAGTCCAAATGTATACCATCGTTTGTCCAAATCCATTTAGCTGTTTTCGAGAAATATTGCTGAAACACACACACACACAGGAGTGAAAACATAACTTACATCACCGAAGTAATTAGGACAGTCACTAAATTGAAATATCCTTGAATGAGTGTCGTTCCTCAAGACGTGAGAAGAAAAACTTTGATAAAAGATAATAAAGAATAAATTGACACGTCTGAATGAAAACTTTTTTCTAGTTTTTTTTTTTCTGCGACGTTTCGGGCAGACGGCCTTCTACAGCCAGTAAATACCGTGTTGCAATGTATACGCTACATTATGTGATAAGCTCTTGATTACTTTGCAGTTAGTGTGGTTACTTTATTGAAAAACCAATGACTGAAAAGAAGTGGCCTTCCCTCATTTGCTTGATATGAAGTGGTATGTATATACAGTATATCATGTGATAGCCACTTTATTACTTTGCAGATAGGGTGGCTCATTGGATGAAAAAAATAATAACTGAAAGGGCGTTGAAACTCTTATTTTCCAAGTTATCGAGGGATAATTAATAGGAAATATTGTAACATTACTTGATCTATCTATCTGAGTTGTAGCGAAATATCTGTGGAACATACCTCATGAAACTTGATAGGCACAGTGCTAGGATAGCTAAAATTGTTAGACAAATCCTATAATTCTATGATTGGTCCGATTGTTGACGATGACTGGGAATTCTGACCAATATGCTGCAATGACTTTTCAGTCCTTGCTTTTCTATCAATCATGTTGAGTTTTGTAGTGAATGTTAGCAGATGTTTGCCTGTAAAATTAAACTTCCTTATTTTTGTCATTATGTAAAAAGATTGCTCCTGATGGTCACTCAGGTCAAGGTTTTTGGTAAATGGAAGTGTATGTGTACCCGTGGAAACTTCCAGAGCAAACGTGTAACGTTCCACATAAAATGATGCGATTTGTATTGTGTTGCTATCTTCCAGGGATGATTAAGGCGCGGAATGTGCATTAATTAACTACATCTATATTCTGATAGCTTTTTCTAACAAAGGACCAGATCGTGGCCTAATTGGTCATGACATTTAACCTTTTATTACTAGCTGAACTTTGGACCTATAAGAGGCTGAGTTGACTTCGAGATTTCAGCTCTAACCTTTGCTCTAAAAAGCTACGATTCTTGGATTCTTTACCACTGGGTATCTTTATCTGGTGACTAATGGAGTCTGGCTGAAATCTTACTGTGGCCTGGATTGGTGGCTTCTTAGTGGACAATGAAGACCTAGTCCTGATGCCAAATGAGGAGGTTGAAATAAGTCAATGATACAACCTCAGAGACCAGACCAGGCAATGGTTTTGGGAGAAGAAGCCTTCAAGTTGCTAAATCCAACTGGAAGGACTGTAACTGTGTCAGTTTCATTTACCACCCAAGAGCCGATGTCTTCAGCATTGACGGCCACCATCCTCACCACTAAATCTTGTCCTAAAGGATGGCAACACCATCCCTAACCTAGTGAAATGACGTGTATATTTACCTCAAAGAAGTGCTCACAATTATGGACCACAGAATCACTTTTCCGAATCTGTGACACCAGACTGGATCCAAGAAATTCTGAAGTCAAAATAACTCTAAGAAATCAGACACAGTCGGCACTTCTGGAATGATACCAGCTTTAGCTCAATCAAACACACCACAGGAAGCCCTAAAACATTCTAGAAGAACTGACTGAAACAATTCTGGAGAAATGGATAAGCATGGAAATGGAGGTTTTACAAGCATTTCATCGTTTAATGTACTTTTAAACACATAAGTGTAGGAGGATTTTCAAAGCGTTTCAACAGTTGATGTACTTTTAAACACATAAGTGTAGGAGGATTTTCAAAGCGTTTCAACAGTTGATGTACTTTTAAACACATAAGTGTAGGAGGATTTTCAAAGCGTTTCAACAGTTGATGTACTATTAAACATAACGGTAGGAGGCTTTTCCAAGCGTTTTCACCGGTTAATGTACTTTTAAACACAAAACTTAGCTATTTGACGGGTAGCGTTGGATTGCTGACATGAATCTCCCATTCACGGATATCACCAGCTTCAGGAAAATAATCAGAGAATCCGGATTGAGGTACAGTGTATAAATAAGGGCATGCAGAGCTATCCTGGGTTAACAAGCAACAATGATCAAACCAGTACAATGTACCAATGAAACAAAATTTGTTATATGTATTCGTATTTTATCAATTTTCAAGGTCATTTTTATGTACACTGTACAGTGAGAAATGGAAATGGTTACGCCATCTTACATATTTGTTTATAAAAATTAATAGGGTATTTGAGAAAAAACAATGTATCGACAGGTACTAACAGTTGCTTCATGAATGGCAGCCTATTGACTTAAGTTCTCCATAAGTTCTGGCCTTACATTCCTTTAAGAAGTGAACTGTATATCATATAAACTTTTCTCGTTGTAGTTTTATATTTTTTTAGCTTGTAATGTATTGTTTTTGGTGTTTTTTTATTATTTTTCCTATTCGGATAGTTTTCCTAAACTCTTTTATATCGTATATTTTGAGCTTGCTATGTCTGTTTTAACCTCAGAGTGTGCTTTTTAAGTTGTTTCTGTTTCATATTTTGTATACTTGCCCTTAATTTTATTTTGAGCTACAAATTTAAGTTTTTGGATTAAACTCATTTTCTTTGAGTCATATCGGTTTTTTTTCAACTCATGCTTTATTTTCGATTATTGTTTATGTTATCTATTTGTTATATTTTTAGTTACATTTTACTTTTTTAATTTGTTATGGATTGCTTTGAATTATCTGTATCAGCTAAGGCTTTAAGTGCTTTAAATTTCACATGTTTGTGACTCGTTGATTTTGATGCACAAATTGAAGATATGTAATTTTATGAAATGTACTTGGTTTAATTTTGATGCTTAAATTTTGATTTTCTGATGTACCCGACCTGGTGGCATAGAGATTTTATGTTATGATTTAATTTCATTTTTATACTGTAGTTTAGTTTTTACGATATTTCGATATCATTTGTTTTTTTACTTTTTTTTTTATTTTGCTTTTACAGGTTGCTGGAATTTTTGTACTAGTCCCTTTGTTGTTTTTGTATAGGTGTTACGGCATATGCGCATCACCTAAGAAAAACGATCACAACATTTTGCAACCTATAATTCATTCTGTAATTCGGTAATAATTAATGTTAATTTTAAATTTTGGGGTGAGGACGACCTGAAATGAGGAAAGAAAAATTTTCTTAGCTGGAACAACGTTGAACATAATTTATCTTTACTCAGGTATATTCGCCTAATTTTTTACAAATTTCCATGCATTTTCTGCATGCTCTTGATCATGTCTCTTAATGAGGTGTCGCAAAGTCATAAACATTTGCTAATCCTTTTATACAGGCACAGGTTACATATTGCAGTTTTTTTTCATAAGTTCTACGCTAATATGCATGTGTTTTTCTACGGATTTCTTGGCTTAGAATTGTGTGTAAACCGAGGACTTGTGAAATATGTCACTAAAGCTTTTACCTGACTCTAAACGACGGATCTACAGATAAGCCTATCTCTCTTGTCTCTTGCTTTTAGTCTTCTTTGTCTTGGAAAAATTCCCCTTCGTTCCATTAGAGAATTCATGACTCGCGTCCCGTTGTCACAAAAACTTATTCCACACTTTGGGTCCGTCTTTGTTCTTTAAGATTAACGGCAAGTCCCACTACTTGGTCAGATAAAAGTAACCCCAGCATAGGAGTTTGAGAGACTTTTATAATGTCATATAATTAATTGGTTTATTTATTTACTATTCATGTGCATAAAAACAATAATACTATGAGTTTACGTGTATTTGAATTCAGAGAAAACACAAATATTTCTGTCTACTCATATTTTCAAATTTGCAAACATGTATATATTGATATATAAGTAACTTATAGTACATACGTATTGCTCCCCCAGTGGCACAGCGGTATTTCTACTGACTCACACTGCTAGAAACCGGGTTTCGATACCTGTGGTGGGCAGAGCACAGATAGCCACTCGTGTAGTTTTGTGATTAATTACAAACAAACAAGCATACTTATTTGAGTGAAGAAAATATTTTTGACTTTTGCTGTATATATTTCTAAGAAACAGAAAAAATCTCATTTAAGGTATTTCAAAATAGAAAAGAAGTAGGTCAAAGCAAACGTCCGGAGCTTTAAGCAATTTATTTTTACTGAATATCAAAATTAAATACGATGTACCATCTTTGTGACTCGTTTCAATTCTCAGCCCAATAAACCGTGATAGTTTGTTTGTTTGTTTTGAATTTCGCGCAAAGCTACACGAGGGCTATCTGCGCTAGCCGTCCCTAATTTAGCAGTGTAAGACTAGAGGGAAGGCAGCTAGTCATCACCACCCACCGCTAACTCTTGGGCTATTCTTTTACCAACGAATAGTGGGATTGACCGTCACATTATAACGCCCTCACGGCTGAAAGGGCGGGCATGTTTGGTATGACGGGGATTCGAACCCGCGTCCCCCAGATTGCGAGTCGAGCGCCCTAACCACCTGGCCATGCCGGGCTCCAAACCGTAAGAGAAATAAAATAAAAACCTTAGAAGTGTTTAAACGTCGAAGATAAAGAAATTAGTGATATATTTTTGTGTATTAATTCATAAAGATATATATATGTATTGAGAAAATAACGCCTTGACAAATTGTATAACATAATAGACAGGAAATAATATAAACTAAAAAAAAGAGATATAATTATGAATGCTGGATTTCGGGTTTTAGGAAAACGTAACGTAACACGACAGTGTACACTGGAACAATAATGCTGTACATATGCATTCTGTGGGAGCAATGGCGTCAATTTTGAATTCTATCAGCTCATGTTACACTCTTTTTGTCTTTATATTAATCTGTCTAGCCAGTTATTTGTAGGTCTGTCCACTGTCTTTTTATAGATATCCTTCTTTATTTTTGCTTTTCTAGAAAAGTACCAGGATTTAAGATATTTTATTTTGATATCTAGAGTGGATCAGGAGAGAATAGTTCAGTTGTTGTATCAAATGTTTTGAGGAAATCTCCATCTGATACTTGCCTACCTCGCCTAAACGAAGGTGATGAGATTTTATCAATTAACAACAACGAAGTTCGTGCAGTTAAACCAGAACAGGTAAACATTGAAACTTTTTCATTCTGTGAATAAAATGTTTTACTTGCTTTTGTAAGAAAAAGATACATAATATGAAGCTTAAATTTGGACAAATTGTGAAAATCAACCAGATCTGTAATAATTACAGCGTCAGTAAGTGAAACAAATTAAGCTTTATGGATTTTTTGAAATTTCCAAAATACAAATGTAACATTTTTCAATGCATCGTATATAAAAAGTCGAAGAGACACAAACAAAAGCTTTATATCAATTCATTCACCATAACTAAATGTGAATCAGAAAAATATAGTGAATGGTGTAGTTGTAATTATTCAACCAAAACTGAGTGTAAAACAGAAATATGTAGTGATTTGTCAACAACAACTGAATCTGAAACACGAAGTAGTGTACGTAACAGCAGTTGTTCAACCATGTCTTTTTTACAGCGTTAGGCCTTTTGAAAACATACTAGTGATTTATCAAACACAGATTAATATCACAGAGACGTATAAACCGCATGATATGCAACTTATCGAGTACATTTAAGTATCATAGTGAGAACTATGTGGTATTCATTTATCAACGTCTTATCAGTTTCACTTTCAGATATTATTAGAGTCGCTATAAACATATGTATGGTATTTAGGTTTTCTAGATTTTATCTTTTCGTATCAGATTGAATAAAATAATTAATAAACTAATTAGTTATTTTTCTTCATGAATTTGTTTAAAACTCTGGAATATTCGAAAATTGTTCCAAAATTATCGCAGAAAAACTAAAGATAAAGCCAGTTGTTTTAAGCTTGTGATATATGTAGATGTCGTTGTCAAAATGTCTGTCTTGAATACTTGTATATTTACTTAATTATTGTAGATAGGACATATTGCAATGCAACACACACACACACATATATTGTTTTCCAAATATTATATTAATTTTATTTCATAATTTTTGTATTTCACTTTATTTTCATTCTATCATTAATGTACGTTCTAATATTAATAATAAGCTAGTTTAAAAACAACACATAAATATATTTTATAACTTAGATCGAAAAGTTAATTCAAGCTGCTGCTAACACGAGAGGCAAGAAGTTGTGTTGGAGAGTCCGACAAAGAGGTGAGTTTACAAAAACAAAACTTTTCTTTTATTCTATTTGTAAGTTACGTTTACTTACGCTAATTGTTTTATTCAAATTGACTCATTAAAATATCGTATAGATATAAGTTACAGAGAAATTGGATACCCTAACATGAAGCCCAAATACCATGTATGCTGTCATCAGTTGGATTTCCTTGTTTTATAAATTCTGGGCAAAGCTGTTCAGGAGTTTTCTACATATATCCTTCCATAATTTGAACCGATAAACTAAAGAGAAGGCTACTCTTGTCTGAGTGAATAGTGGAACGCGAACCTTGAACCTTCGGATCCACACTCTGAGCACGCTAACGACTATGCCAAGTTCAATGGCAGTGATTCAAAAATAATGATTAATATCCCAATTAAAAATTATAATATATATATATATATATATAGTCAAACCTGTGTAACTGAGCCACCCTAGGGACTGGCTACCAGTGGCTCACTTAGGCAGGTGGCTCACTTAAGAAGGTTTGCATCTTCCAACTTGGGAGAAGGAACATTTATGTAACTTCCACAAAATTGTTTCATGATAGGTGTCAGGTTAATGTCAAGACCACTTTTTCTTGATTTGCATAACTGTTTATCAACAAATATTTATTTACTTCATAATACATTTGTGAAAAAAAGGTTATACTAGAAATAAATGTACATGTATTTACATAAACATGATGACAAGATTTTTGACAGTAAAATTATTGGGGCTTGAAGAAATCACTGATAGAAGACTGCTTCTTTGTTTTGAGACGCATTGCTGTGGTTATATCATGCAGGTCCATAACCTTGTTTAAATAAGAAGCATTTCCGTGATGTAAAGCAAAGTCTTTCATCTGTTCCAGAAATGTCTGGGCCTGAGCAACTGAGCAGATCTGGAGTTCTGGACTGTCATCAACATCATCAATTCAACTTCAGAATCATTAGCAAGAAGCTCTTGTGCAGGTAGTGTCCAATCAGTGGCAGGCTGTGTGGTGGGTAGGTCTTTGTCAAGCTGGTCAAGTTCATTATTGTATAAGTCTTTGGAAAGTCTGAGGATTGAGAGGGGAATGTCACCTTCTGGGTCATCTGCTTCTTTAACAAAGGATGTGGCATCACTTGCCTCGCACACCTGTGAGGTCAAACCAGCATGTGCAAAGCATTTCTGGACTGTTGAAGAATCAACTTCCTCCCATGTCTAGCAGTGACATCTATGAACCATTTCCAGGTCAACTCATTAATTTCTTCATTGCCGGTCTTTCTAATTTTTCTCTGGCGTGCGTTCAGCCGGGGCATTATTTTCATAGTCATTTACAACTTCGGCTTTTCTTTTAACAAGTCTTTGAATTTGGTCTTTGCTTACACCAAAAGCCTCCCCCACTTTACAGGAACTTTGTACTTTGTTGTACATTTCTATGGCCTTGACTTTGTCGGCAAGGGTCAGTGTTTTTATAGTCTTTTTGCCTTGCTTTGACATGGTGGCAAATTTGGTTGAAATAACAGAGATATCTTTTACAGCACAGTTATTGTAAACAGTAGTAAACAGTCAGAGAAATGATTTAATCTTAAATGTAAGCTTGGCTATTTATATCAGAAAAATAAGATGAATTTACAAAAAAAAGAATATATATATATACATACACCTACCTATTGTAATTAACCTTACTTAGTGTAATTAACCATGCCTACAGCAGTGATTGGCTCTCAAAGCAATTAGTCTTGACAGTGCGGGAAATTTACACTGTCGAGGAATACCGATCAATATTTATGGCGGGAACTGGCGTTCTTTCACAGGTGATGAATGGGCTTTGGCCTGGCGCTTGGCAGCGTTAGACAGGTGGCATTCTTATAAAGGTTAAATAACATACAAATTGAGTTGGAACTTACGAAAATTAGCGCTCTTAGCCAGGTGGCGCTGTTGTGGAGGTGGAGCGGTTAACAGGTTAGACTGTATAGAATTTTTAACTTTTTTTACTATTTCTAATATAAATTTGTTATTTCATGTAGTTATTTGCACTTGGACTCTGAGTAGTTCACCTACAAGGTAATTTTTATATGAAGAATAAAAATACAATTTTTAATCTTATAGTTTCACATTTCATTTGCATAATCTCTAGAACCTCATAAATGAATATCAGAAGTTTTTTAATTAAAGTAAACGTTTATATTTTATTTTACATTTTCTCTACTATATTATTAATTGTCCATTATCATCAACATACAGTGCAATGAAATGTTTAAAATTAACAAACAGAAATATGTACATACCTTTCAACACTTTGTATAAATCCACTAGAATAGTCTTATTTTTCTTACATGCATAATTTCATGTCTTTATCTTTTCACTTATAGTTAATTTTTAATTTTCCTTTCAAATTCCATTACTTTTATAATTTATGATCATACATCAACTGATTTCTATGGGGCTTTATGAAGTTATTTTGGCAGACACTTTGCATGAACATGTTGTCTAAACAAGATGGCACTTATATATACCATCTTGTTTATAACTTTTCACAATCCAGGCAACAAGTTAAACTTATGAATATTATTAAGCCATTAAAATATGATTTTTAAAACATACATAATTAACTAAAATACAAAAGTAAGACCTAAATACAATTTAACTATTTCTCTAACTATAGCATATTTAGTTAAGAAACCACCATAAGTGCTATAGTCAATCAAGTAGACATCAATACCATGTTACATGTACGCCATGAGGAAAACTACATGCCAATTTCAAATAAACTGTTGATGGGGTATAGTGTAAAGTGAGCTCTTACTAATGACTATATACACTTATGTCAACTAACTACATGTATGTTGTAGATCTCAAGGCAAAGTATAGAAGATAAGCATGACAACCATCAAGGTCTGGAAAATTTATGTTTCCCAGAGAATACAGATGCAGACTTTTTATCTCACGTTGCCTGCTTATGTGACTAAGAGCAAATGCTGCTAAAGTTGTGATTTTTCATAGGACATGTATCATGTAACACAAAACTGTAGTTCAAGTTTTTTAATGTTTTCTTTGAAACAAAGGAATTAAAATGTAGATAACATAAAAATTCAAATTGTAATGTCAATATAATTGACATATTCTGATAGTAAAGTGATTTAATTAAATTTGAATTTAATGCAGTACCATACACAGAAAGGAATTTAAAAATGATGCCGGGCACCATAGGGTTAAATGGAACTGGTAATTTCAGTAACAATCCTTCTAATAGCTAAAAAACTAAAGAATGCTGTTTTCTATATCTAAGAATATTTTGTTTCACTATTAAAACCAAAAGTATTGTTTAGATTTCTGTATATTTCATTGTTATTTAAAATAAAAATAATGCTAACTAAAAATTGTTATATAAAAACACTGCAGGTACTTTTAAATATGTATGGTTAAAATTTTGACATAATAACTTATGTTGTAAATCATAACAAAAATTATATTAACTTCATAATATCTTTTAAATATCAGTAGAAAACATCTTTATTTTTGCAGGCTATTTAAAATGAAACGCCGTTACCGAGATGTACTTGGTACTGTCTTCATTGTCCTTCCTCGGTTTGCTAGTGTTGCCTTGGTCTTACTGATTATTTACTATTTTTTTGCCATTATTGGGATGGAATTGTTTTCCCACCATGTTATGATGAATTGTTGCAAGTAAGGCATATAGTTTTTTGCATATTTTTGTATTTGAACTAACAAATTAACATGGAAAACAACTATTACTGAAAAATATTTATACAGTTTGTTTTGAGCAACCATTTACATGTTCTTATCGATTTTTAAGCACATCCATACAGCCAGTCGTAAGAGCCTTATTAAACCCCACCTGCAGTCTCCAATATGAAAATTCCAAAAATATAAATGTTGACTTATTTTGAATGATCCCTTAAAAATGTTCATGCTAGTTTTCATGTAAGTCAATGGATTCAGTCCTGAGAGCTTTTGAACCTCTTTTGATCTCTGTATGAAAAGCTTTAATTTAAAAATTTCAGAAATCTGAATACAGTTTTCAAGTAAATTAGTTTAGTCAAACCCAAAAGCTTCAAAAACCCCTTGACACCACACCACTCTTTTGAAAATTTTCTTTTTTGTCTATATTCTTTAGTTTCCAGAGCTTACACATAAAATTAGTAATTGACTTGCCGAAACATGTGAAATGAATTAAAAAGTAATACGTATTATGATACATACACCTGTGTATAAACACACACACACATATATATATATATATATATGTGTGTGTGTACATATATATGAGAATTACTGTATAGATTCCAGTTAGTATTCCACTGCTTTAATGGGTGTCTGAATAAATCTAATACTTTACTTAGGTTAGTACTGAAACAATACATTTTTATGTAATGTACATTAAGATTTGTGGACTGTTTTTACAGGAACACAACAGTGGAACAGTATTATCATTTTAACAACATGTCATCAGAAGAAGGATATTACTACTTAAACAACTTTGAAAATATCATCAATAGCTGTGGTAAATATATGGAAAGTGAAAATCTAGAAAAAATCATTAGCATATTTTATAAACTATTTTTTGTTGTTGTTTCTTGTACTAAAGTGGTATTATTAGATTTATTTTGAAGTATTTAGTTCATAAGTCATATTTTCCTTTATTCAAACTATTCTACTGGTATACTCCAA